GGATGATATTTTGTGTAAAATCCATTCAAGATATTTCTTGTGCATCTTCACTCGCGCGAAGAAACGTGATCGTGGGATATGGTCCAAGGACGCCTTGATCGTGACGATAATATTATTTCAAAGAGACGTCTTATAGCTTTCATGCACGGCTGCAAACTAGATGCTCATATCCACATACGGTATCTTTCATTAAGAAACGAGATGCAATTATACGTCATATCATGCAATCGATATCACTAATTATTAAAAGTTTGTCTTGCGTTATTGGTATATCTTTCAAATGCAAGTTCATTTACATGTATTGTATGCATATAGAAAAAAATAAAGATTACATTGTTCAATACAATCTAAATTTAAGAACCCTTTTTTTCTTAAGAAGAGTAAAAATATAATATGTACAAATTTTATTATCATTTTTAAAATAATTTTAGTATATATTTATATATTGAAATATTATGTGAGTATCATTATCAATACATCTTTAAATCATATATAGAATATCATGAATTGGTTTTTAAAAATAAAAAACTGCGAAAAAAACGATAAGTCGCGATCCATCGTTTTTTCGCAGTTTTTCATTTTTTTCAACCACTCTTTTAAATACCTAAATAACTTTTCTACAAAGTTACTAGAACATTAATAAGTATAAAGGAAATATGAAGCCATTAATTGCAAAAAATAAAATATATATACAAACGAATAATCAGAATTAGTATATTATATATGAAGAAATATGTTTTCCACTAATCTATTATGAAAATTAAAAGGGCAATTTTTTTTACTAACTTAGTATATTCTAAATTATTTTTCAGAATTTTTTCAAAATTTTTCGCCATATTGTTTTTGTTATTAATTAATTATTTATTAATATTTATTAATATTATTAATATTATTAATATTTATTAATTCTATATAAAAAATACAATATTTTCTGTATTAAATCTAACTAATTTTTTAAATATCTTCTCTCTGAGGATCTCAGAATCTAAAAAGGAAAAAGTGTATAATTCTTAAAACTTATAATTTTCTGTCATATTGAAAAGACTCGCAATCTTGAATTTTTTTATATTAAAAATGTTAACATCAGATTCAGATTCAGCGACAAAAAAATTTCAAAAAAAAAAAAATTATATTATTTATTATATTTATTATATTAATATATATAATTGAAAGGATTAAAAATGAGGAAATATTTGTTATAGTCATATACAATTTTTTTTTATAATTTTTTAGTTATTTTAATGAAATCTTCTCGACTCAAAATATGAGACGCTGAATGCACTTGAGGTGATTATGCAATGTATGATGTATGTTATTTGCTTTGCATCGCGTATCTCACGCGTAAAACTGCGTAAAACAAACTTACGTTAGATGAGTTAATCTGTATTATAGTGCTTAAAGAGTTTCAACAATTTTTCTTACCGATTCAAACTTAGAAGAAAAATTTTGAGTTTCTTTCTTAAAGGGGTAAAAATAAAGTGTCTTTAGATATATTTTCTTGTTTTCCTTCATTTATGATATTTTGACAATTCAAATGAAAATCTCTATATATGTCTGAAAAATCAATATAACTTTTAATTAAATTAAATATTTTATTATTTAAAATTAAATTTATATACATAAATTGAAGCTATGAAAGTTAGAACTTTTACATGTGAAAATTGCACCTGTCATCTATCGATTTTTTAAAATAATATCCAACGTATTGCATATCTAAATATCATAACAAAGTAATATAGTTTAACATAGTTTAACATAGTTTCACTGGGAAACTAATTCTATATTCTCGCCTTGTGCCGAAAATCTAAAAGTAGAATCTATTCCTCATATATACATTTAGTATATAATTTCGCAAGATCTTTGTGTGTGTTCTCAGAGAATTTTAACATGCCAAATTGCTATTCGCGATCTAATCGCGAAAAGATACTTGTGATAAGCGATTTTCGCTTAAAACCGTGTCAGTTCGTACCAGCGGAATCGAGATGTATAGACAGGAAGTGTCGGGATTATTGATTTTAACCAGGGTCGCTCGTCTGGTTCGACGCAGCCCGCATTTTGCGCCATATAGACTTGCTTTCTCAGTTCAAATGTTGCACAAATAATAATTTTATACATTATATGTATATCTAATTTAACATAACATGTATTATTATTATTATTAATTTAGGCGTACCTATTAATTTTTCAAGATTAATATGATAATTATATCTTTTGGCCAAAAGCATAAGAAATGTGATTTTATTGTTTTGTTAATTATAAGAAAAAAATGTAAAAATAATTTTGACTATTAATTAATTTAAGAGACAAACAAAAAGAAAGAGAAAAGGAAAAATAAATATAATTTTTTGTGTAATTTATTTTTTTATAATTTACATTGGTGGATTTTTAGATGTTGACAAAGTTAGTCTCAGAAATTAATGTGTACTTCGTTTTAATGAGATTTTATCATTCTTATAGCACTCTTATAACACTCTAGAGAAGATTTCTCTTAAAAATCACATGAGATGCTGTGTGCGTGGAAGATATATTATAAGAACGCTGAAAATATCCGAATGCTAGTCCCTAACACATGAAACACATATGCTTGTCGGTAATAACTACACTCTGAAAATGACAAGGTCTCCGCTTATATATAAACTATATTTGCGGGAGGTTTCTCAATGAGTTCTCGACGTAAAAATTGAAAATTAAACATCTCGTTTTCTGATATAATGCTTTGTACATATCATGTATTTATGTTATTTTTTATTTTATCTAGTTTTATTTATTATTTCGATTGTAACATTTTTGTTACATCGATTTTGTTGAATGTCTTCTTTTAATGTGTCGGACATTTTAAATCTATCGAGAAATATAATTAAATTTTTTATAAAGTGAAAGATAAAAAATTTGGAATTCTTAGCTTTTATTATCATCATATTATTATATTATCATTTGTTTTAAATATATGCACATTACGTAACGATTATATACTATAAGCGATTTGTATAAAAATACATAGAATTTGAAAGATATTGAAAATTTTTGATCAATTTGCATCATATGTTTTTCAACATGAAAACAAAGAAAGTTCGGTGATGCAGAAATCTCGAGGAGAGCTGAACTGACTTAAATTTGTCCCGAAATCTTATGAAGTAGCGCTCACTCGTAGGATTCATTGTCCAGTTGGCCTCATGGGTCGCGAAAAGGCCTGAATTCTTTAGTGTATTTCCGAAATGGTAGCACGAGAATTCTTTTTTTTCTTCAACACTTCCCTGCCAGTCTTATTCTTATTCTCATCGCTGTTTCTTTCTCTTTAAAGATTAGCTTTTATATTCTCTCCGCAGGACAAAAGGCACCTGACGCTGAAAATTCCTTAAAAAAGACACCCTTATTCGTCAATCTGTACTGTGTTGGCATTCAAAGCAATGGTCGATCTTCTTCTTTCCTCATTATTTGTTCTTCAAAGAAAATATAGATCGTCTTAGTTAATGCATTATGTCAACAATAGGTAAAAAAACCAATCAGAAATTGAGTCATATTACATTTTTTTTATTTTACTTATTAATTTTATGAAGAGTCGTTATGCGACTCTGCTTTGAAGAATAAATGATGGAGAAAGAAGAAAAAATATATAATTTATATATTTATAATATTTATATTTTAAATATTTTTTTATTTATATTAATTAAAAATATAAAATGTATAATTTATTATTTATTATTTATTTTTACGTTTTACATACATGTATGTGCATGCGCGCGCGTATTTTTCTTCTAAACATAACTGTTCATTTATTGGATCATGCACATCGCATACTTTCAATCTAGCATTAGCGGAAGTGCGTAAATTTGTCACTCATGCAGCGTTGATTGATAATACCGTAATATATGACGATGCACGTACGCACATTAGTTGCCGGATATTGGACCTCACTCGCGTTGTGTATGTTTTACATCAAGGACAATAGATTCATAGTCGATAGAAAAGAATCGCTTAATTCGTGTTAAATTACACAGGCCTGCGAGGTTTTTCTTTTTAAGATGCAATAGTGATTTCCAATTTTGTGAGCTGAATTCGAATCTGGCCGCCGAATTTGCGTAGTACGTCACGTTTTTGAATAATTTGTAATTGAATGGCTCAAAAATCGCTATTTTGGCCAATTTTATGAATTTATTGCGAGGAAATTAAATTTTTTGAAATATTTCTGCCAATGGTATCGTATAATACTCACTTTCGCCTTTCAAATCTACTTTCGATTACCGCCGCACGATTTTTTTTCGCTGAGATATATAAGTATGACGTTGTAAGAAAATTTACGTTAAAGAAAATTTATATAGATATCAATATGGTATCCATGATGTTGAAAGTTGAAAAGACTGACATATATCAGGTTCGGTTGTCCAAAAAAGTATTGTAAAGAAATATCTAATACAGTTGTTACACATTTTGATAAATTTTTCTAAATTTTATGCCTTTTTATTGTGATTCTATTCGCTATATTGGATGCGCCATTTTTAATTTCAAAAGGTGACAGAAGATTTAAAAATGTATATTTTTATCCTAATTTTGATTCGTAGTGAAATAAAGAAGTGGCACGGTTGATTTAGAATGGTTTATTAGATCCCTATGCATGACCAGTCTTATGACTTGTATATCTGAACGAAAAAAAATCGTGCGGCGGTAATCGAAAGTGGATTTGAAAGATGAAGGTGAATACTATACGATGCCATTGACAGAAATATTTTCAAAAAATTTGGTTTACTCACAATAAATTCATGAAATTGGCCAAAATAGCGATTTTTGGGCTATTCAACTACGAATAACTCAAAAACCTGACGTGCTACGCAAATTCGGCGACCAGATTCGGATTCAGCGCACAAAATTACGTCAAAAATCACTATTGCATCTTAAAAATGTTGACCCCCTTGTTTGCAGGCCTGTGTTATTTAAGAATTTGTATTTTCGAAATTACGTCTCTTATACTACAACTAACGTAAAAATAATATTTTGCTTCACAGAGTGCGCAGAACAGATTGCTAATTAAAAATGGCAAAGTTGTGAATGACGACGGGCTTATCGACAGCGACGTCTATATTGAGGATGGCATTATCAGGTATGCGTGAACCGAGATTTTGAAATACATTTTTATCGTATAGTTTGTGACAAGGTGTCTAATTTCTAGAAAAAAATGGAAGCTTCCAAGTCAATATTATATTAACATATTAATATTATATAAAAGCAGTAAAATGGATTATTAAATAATGTATCAGAGCAAGTCAAAAAGTAAAGTTACTTTTTGTCCCCCTGGCCAATAACACTGATTTCTCTATGATTTATTATATTATAACTTTAAACTGTATTTGTGTGTTCAGAGTGATAGTTTTTGTTGTGTAGCTCTCTTTCATTATGATTTCATGTCAATTTAAAATAAGTTCAAATAGAAATTATTTTTGAAACGATTTATTTCACTCATAGATCTTTCTGTGATTTAGACAACTTTCATTATACTGTTGTTGCATTTTGGGAATAATCTCTGTAAGTTTTATCTTCTCTTTGAGTGAAGAAAATGCTACTGCTCTCATATCTTTTTTGACGCAGGTGGATAATGGAACATTTATTTTTTAAACTGACATAAAATTATATGAACACAACAAATCATTATTCTAAACATAAAAATTTAAAAACACTTTAAAATTATAATAATCATAAAGAATAAAGAAGTCAATGTTACCAGAAACTATCTTTTGGAGAAACAAAAAAAATCCTTTTACTTTTATTACCAATAAGTAGCTGGTTAATTGTAATTTCTTATTCATAAATGTAATATGTAATATATTATATTTAATGTAATATATTATATTTAATGTAGTATGTAATATATTATAAAATATATTATATATTTTTACGTTATAATTATATTGCATATAGACTTACTTCATATAGAAAATAAGTCCTAGAGTTGATAAATGACTAAATAATATATAGAGTTAATAATTTTAAATAAATAATTTAAATTATATGTATTTAATTTATAAAATTCGAAATTTAATTTAATATAGAAATTTTAATTTTTTGCTTCAAATAGGCAGTAAAAGTGAGACTATTATCCGCCCAATTGTAACTAATCTACTTAATATTCTGAATCTTTTATTGAGAATGCATTAGAAATTAACATGATAAAAAAGAGATATAAGATTTGGATCTTATGTTAATATCCTTTGTAGCATTTGCATCCATTTCATGATGAAAATTGAATTAGTTAAATCTGGCTTTGCTGCGTAGCAGTAAACAAAAGAATACATTTATAATAACGTTATATTGCAATAATATTCTGTTGTATTATTGTTATATATGTTTCAAAATAATACATGTACAGTATGTATTACAATATATATTAACCTGCATTATATCATTTGTTTCATATCATATTACTGCAATAAACAATGTTTATTTGGAATTCTCAAATAATACTTTTTTATCTGGAAATGTATTAGAGAATTTAAAAAATTTTTTAAATTTCTTTCTTTAATAATTTTACTTTTATATTATAAGCAATTTACATCAATTTAAATCGTCAATTTAGCCAATAAGCTAAGTTTTAAATTATTGTGTTTAAAATTTATATATATTATAAATATGTTTCTGTTTATCTGTCTCTGTTTATATATTTAATATCTTAACAAGGTATTGAATATGTACATATTCTTTATTATAAATTTTTAATGATAAAAAAGTGAAAAAAATAAAATACATTTATCTTAGCTATTTAGTTTTTTTTCAGTATATTTACAAATTCAACACTTAAAAAAACTTAATGTAAAGCTCTATGTTTTTTCTTTGTACAAGTAAAATAAAAAATCTTAATTTAGATAATTGCATCAAAAAATTTTTAAAATTAATCTTTAATCTTTAATTACTTTAATCACTCTCTTTCTTATTAAAGAAAAATTTATCGAACTTAATAAAATTTACCGAATTATCGAATAGATTCGCACGTGTTTGTTTCTCAAAAATAACGAATGTTCTCTCTCTATTGCGACTGACATATATTATGACAGTCGTGTTGATATTCAGGTCACGTGTCTATCGCCACTTTACATATAAGTGAAACGCAATACACACATCGTTATTTTATCACTGGAGCTGAATGAAGTGACAATCATAGAGCGTTTGATTTATCAGACAAACGTGACTGATAATAGTCAGCAAAGGTTGTTGTTAAATCGTTATAGTTAATCATATGTTGATGTAATGTAAAAACGTGTAGCTTAAGCATTTAAATAACTTAAACTCCATTTTTTTTCCTAGAAAAAAATCACTTGTCAAGCACAGGAGACGAAACAATTGCTTAAAAAAATCTTTGTTTCTTAAATTCACAGGCAAATGGGACGCAATCTTATTATACCGGGTGGCACGAGAATCATCGATGCGCGGGGAAAATACGTAATGCCAGGTGGCATAGATCCGCATACGCATTTTGAATTTGAATTTATGGGTACCAAGTCAGTGGATGACTTTTACCAAGGCACGAAGGCTGCAGTCGCCGGCGGTACCACTATGATCATAGATTTTGCAGTACCGCGGAAAGAAGAGAGCCTTGTGGAGGTTTACGAGAGGTACAGAAATTCGGCAGATGAAAAAGTATGCTGTGATTATGCGCTGCACGTCGCCGTCACTTCTTGGAGTCCGAAAGTAAATTTATTATTATATATATATATTTTCTTTTTCTTAAAAAATAAAATATTCTTGTTATAATATGACAATACAGTGACAGTACAGATATTTTAGACAATTTGGCGTGATTTATTATATTTATTATTAGTATTTTGCAATTTATTCTAGTGATAAATTTTTTCGTAATAAGGAAAAAATAATATTTCAATCGCAAATTGCAGTCTAAAACTAAATTGAAGCTTTATCTATCATATAATTTGTTTGCGATTTCACATAATTTACAACAATTCCATATTGTTATTTAGTGTTATTATAGTGTTATTTATTGTATTGGTGTAATAAATATTATAAATAGGCACAATAATTTCAAGATTAAATAGTACCAATCTGAGTATTCTTTCTTTCACATTATAGTTCGATTGTCCGATTGAGATCGATAGGACACATAAAATATTTGTTTCTAATCTTATCTATTCTTTCCTATCAATTCCTTGTTTTCTATTTAATTATTTCAATATTGGCCATTTTTAATAAATGTGAACATGTAAAGCTTTTTTATATAAACACAATATCCAATAAAAACAAAATAACAACATAACATTAATATTATACAATTTTTCTACTCAACAATGTAACTGCAAAGTAATATGCCTTGTACATAACAGTTACATTGTTGAGTAGGAAAGTATAATATTATGTAACTATTGTTTTGTATTTACTGGGATGTTATTTTTACGACTGATGTCCGTCAATTAAACGCTGACATTGTGAGTACAGTAATGTTTGCGCTAGATTATGCCATGCACGATATTACAGTTCGTATATACTTTTCCGTCTTTTTAGTCACCCGGAACGAAATAATTGCAGTAACACAATATTCGTCGAGAAAAAAGACTTTTTTTGTAATTCTTTTCCTTTTTTCGTTTCTTCGTTTCTTTTTTTTTAAGTTGACACATAATATTTTACATATATTTTACGATTTTTATGTATCAGAATTATGTTGATAATATTTATTAGGCGCCAAACAACATAATGACAATTTATGTAATTCTAGAATAATGTAAATTACGTAAATTACGTACATAGAGTAAATCAATTCAATTGTAATCAAATTAGTATTACGTGATTGTTATATAATTCAATTTAAAAATCTAAACGAATTCATCGAATACTCTGATTAAGGTCACTGATATTGTTAGGTTGGTAAAAAAAGTTTGTTGTTTTTTGTACTAAATAAGTTCTACTTTAAATAAGATTTTAATTCGATAAACATAGAGATGGCATGAAATATAAAATTTTTTTCATTCAATTTACATTTTGAAAAAATCTTTTCTTAGATAAAAAAATATTAAAACCAATAGTTATTTTGATCAATAAAAATTACTTTGAAAGTACAAAATGTTCCGCAAGGAAATGATTAAACTTTAATGTATCTAAAAATATTTTCTAGGTAACAATTATATACGTTGTGGATTTATCTGGCTCGAATTAAACGTTTTATTATAAAATGTATTTTAAAATTATTACGAGGGGGAAAGAAAGAGAGAAATTATATTACTTTAATATTTTGTTATTTTCATTGATTTTTAAATTTTATAAAACTTCATCAAAAATAATATTAATTTGTTTTTTATATACTTCAAATATCCCATCCTGAGAGAAAAAAGAGAACAATTGCAAACAGTTACTATCTCTTTGTTTTATCGACTCAAACCTTGTTTCTATCTATCAGCTTGATCGTAGATACAATCATAGATTCGCGAAATATTTCTTTGAACAAATAAAAGTAATAGGTTTAATAGGTGTAATAGGTTTTATATTTTCAAACATTCAATGAATGTTTTATTCCATGATATTCAGACTTACAGTGTTCATGAACTTCTTTTGTTGGAAAATATCTTTAAACAGTGTCCTGTATCCTGTATACATATACTGTCGTTTTCATTTTTGAGAAATCTTTTGCAAGACTATAATAATACAATATTACATCAATAGATTAAATTAATCAAATAATTGCTAGATTAATAAATTTTAGTTAACAATTCATTTTCTTTCAAATGTACATATATTCTTATTTATAATATTAGTGAGAAGAAAAGGAAAATCAATTCAATTAAACTGGATCTAATTTAGTTTTTTTATAAGTGCGTAATCTAAAATTTTTATATTCTAAATTTTAATTATTCCTAGAAAAAGTTTATATACAGGGTGAATCATTTTAATCAATACACTCGAATATCTCGAAAACAGCACTCTTCAGAAAGAAATGTTTCAAACAAAAATTGTAGGGTGTGAAGGGGGACATAAGATGGTAGCATTGGTTTGACCTTGGAAAGTCATTTGAAGGTCACATAAAAGTCACCTTCAATTTCTTAAATTGAACCCACTATTTTTCATTACATATTCTTGTAGCTTATCTCGAGAGCTTTCCAAAACACTACAGACAAATGTTTTTTCATTAAGTACTTTTTGAGTTATAAGGCTTCAAAGTTTGCAGTACTTCGATATAAAATGCAAAATATCTCGTAAAATATTTAGTTTTCGGTTTACTACAGACAAATGTTTTTTCATTAAGTACTTTTTGAGTTATAAGGCTTCAAAGTTTGCAGTACTTCGATATAAAATGCAAAATATCTCGTAAAATATTTAGTTTTCGGTAGTCTTACCCTAATACTTTTATGCACAGAATAATGAGACAAAACTATTGGTGCAAAGAAAACGTATGATTGTTTATAATAAAAAATGTGTAATTTGCAATGCACTTTTTGTTATAAACAATCATACGTTTTCTTTGCACCAATAGTTTTGTCTCATTATTCTGTGCATAAAAGTATTAGGGTAAGACTACCGAAAACTAAATATTTTACGAGATATTTTGCATTTTATATCGAAGTACTGCAAACTTTGAAGCCTTATAACTCAAAAAGTACTTAATGAAAAAACATTTGTCTGTAGTAAACCGAAAACTAAATATTTTACGAGATATTTTGCATTTTATATCGAAGTACTGCAAACTTTGAAGCCTTATAACTCAAAAAGTACTTAATGAAAAAACATTTGTCTGTAGTGTTTTGGAAAGCTCTCGAGATAAGCTACAAGAATATGTAATGAAAAATAGTGGGTTCAATTTAAGAAATTGAAGGTGACTTTTATGTGACCTTCAAATGACTTTCCAAGGTCAAACCAATGCTACCATCTTATGTCCCCCTTCACACCCTACAATTTTTGTTTGAAACATTTCTTTCTGAAGAGTGCTGTTTTCGAGATATTCGAGTGTATTGATTAAAATGACTCACCCTGTATAATCAAATGTGAATATGCATAATTATATTTAAAATATGTTTGTATATGTTTTCTTTTTTTTTTTGTATAATCTTTCTCTTGCATCCGTATGTGTAGGAAAAAATAATAAGAATAATTGAAAAATACTTAAAAAAAATAAAATAAAAGTTAACGTTGTTTTTTTTTAGAAAAAGTGAAATTTAAAGAAATGAAATTTATATGTAATTATATATAGGCAATTTTTCTCACTTTTCAATTATTTTCTAATTAAAATAATGCGAAAGTTATTGTTTTAATTATTTTTTAATTCTTTTCTTTTTATTCTTTTTCTTGTACATACGCACAGAATTGTATAAAAAATATATATAGACATATTTTATATGTGAATTGTGATTGCTGTGTGATTATGCAGTTGAAATACCGTACAGCACGTGCGAGGAAATCGCACGAGACCGCGATGGAAGCAAACGCGGTTCAGCGCTCCTTATTTGCTGTTCGTTGTTCAAAAGGAAACCGCATTTAATTTATTATTCATTGATGCTCGCTACCAATCCTTTTGCAGGTTAAAGAAGACATGGCGACATTGGCGAAGGACCACGGCGTCGGTAGCTTCAAGATGTTCATGGCTTATCGCGACATGTTTATGCTCAGAGATCCGGAGTTAATCGAGGCTTTCAAGACGTGCAAAGAGATCGGTGCTGTCGCTATGGTACACGCTGAGAACGGTGATCTTATCGCGGAAGTACGTATGATGATATCAATGTGCATGACTGTTTAGGATGAATTTCACAATTTTTCCTTTATAATTCTGATTTCTAATTTTCACAGCCTATGAAAGCTTGTTTCTAATTTAACTTATTGTGAATATATTTTTAAAATTTTTCCAAGCGCAAATATAATTTTAGGGAACACAGAATTCAAACAAGAAAAAGAATACATAAAAGAGATATTGTAAAAATATTGAATTTTATAATTTGTATTCTTATCAAAATTATCAGATTTTATTGATTCGATAAAAGCGCTGATTTTATCGTGATTTAATTGATATTATATAAAAGCTCTTTCTTTTTATAATTGCTACAGAAAATTACAATTCATACATTAAATTCCATGTGAAAAAAAAACAAAATAGGAAACAAATAGTTAGAATTTTGTTATTATAAATAAAACTTAAAACTAATAAGAATAAAAATTATAAAACTTAATATTTTACAATTTTTTTATGTATTTTATTTTTTATTTAAATTTTAATTCTGTATTGCTTAAATAACATTTATACTGGAAAAAAATTTTTTTTAAATATAATAATAATATTAAAAAATATAAGAAATATAATAAAAATAAATATATTTTTATATAATAAGTTAAAAATGAATATAAAAATATATATATAAAACTATAAATAACGATAAAATATATAAATAAATTTTTACTTATGACAATACAAATCAAAATGATGCTTTCTATATCAAAATTATCACTCGTTAAATAACGTGAAGAGGAAATTAAGTGATAAAAATCATATATGACTTGAAAGTTATGTTGGGCAACAGAAGATGCAGATATTCGCGTTGTTTGTAATAAAATGTTAATATAAAATGCAATATATGTATACAAACTTTTGCTTATCGCCATAAATTTGTTACAGAATGCGAAGAAACTACTCGCCGCAGGAGTGACAGGTCCAGAGGGCCACGAAATGTCACGGCCTGAAGAAGTTGAGGCAGAAGCCGTCAATAGAGCGTGCATTATCGCGAATCAGGTAAGCGGAATGCTAACTTGAACACCATTGAGTCATCATTGATATTTTTTTGCCAATTTCATATATATTCATACTTCGTTATCTATTTCCATTTTATTTTATTTTGTCCTAAGCACGCAAATCTTACATTTATCCGTTTTCTGTTATGAATGCACTTGGCACGCGATTCACCGCGATATTTAGTTCATGAACGATCATAAATCTCTAGATTAGAATTCAGGACAAAATAAAGCACAGCGCATTGCTTTGCTACGTGGCATATGTCCAATTCTCAATGTGTTCTCAAAATTCTCATTATTATTTTACCAACATCAAAGAATAACCATGTCCTATGACACCATATCCAAAGTCTGACACCATATCCATGTCATTTTCCCAAATTTTTTATCTCCAATTTTTAGCTTTTTCCCTTCCTTTCTTATTTTTTTTTCAATTTTTTACTTAAGGAGACTAGCAACAAGCGGGCGAAAATGTATTCGTCAGACATCATCGTTCAGCATTTTCAGTAGTACTAGAATCGAAATTTTGCTTAGGTCAATTGTCCGCTGTATGTAGTGCATGTGATGAGTCGTAGCGCCGCCGAAGAAGTGGAAGCCGCGCGTAAACGCGGAGTTTGTGTCTTCGGCGAGACCCTGGCGGCTGCAATAGGTACGGATGGCACCAACTATTTGCATAAATGCTGGAGACACGCCGCCGGTCATGTCATAAGTCCGCCACTTAGACCAGATACGGATACGCCACAAGTACTCGTGAATATGTTAGTCAAGTGAGTCGAAAACAACTAACAAAAATTAAAAATTCAGAACGACTTTGACATCGGGAGCAGGCTAGAACATAAATTGTTAAGTCTATTACATAAAGCTGCATTATAAATCTGATACAGAGCAAGCAATTAATATTGGATATTAGGCAAGCAATTTAAGGATTCACGATTATTAGAAATACACAAATTACATAAAATTAATTCTTTAAGAATGACAAACATATGTACAAATGTTTAACTTTAATCGATAGATATCGCACGTTTTCACTCATTTTCTTCCTAAAATTTGAAGTTTTCTAAGAATGGAATCAATTTGGTGACTTTAGAATTGATCAGAGAAATTATTAATAAACATGTGAAATCAATTGGAATCGGAAGAAGAACAAGTGCAGGAGAATATCTAAAGAGATTTATTGATAAGTATTTCTTTTTTTATTGAATCTGAACCTCATAAAAAAAGAAAAACTCAAAGATATTTCACCCGTGTAGAAAATTATTAGGGCTAGTACATGAAATTATTGGCCCTAATAAGGATAATGTAGGGATGCTATAGAAAAGGATATCCTATCATCATCAATATGGAGCCTTATTAAATATTACTAGGGACATATAATTAAAAAAAAAGAGTTATCCGATGTTTAATTTACAATTTAATTTAAGGTTTTATTAAATTATTTTATTAATTAATTTTGAAACTCAGGCTTTAATAAACATAACTAATTGCCGCATTTTTAAAATGAAGAATTTATGTAGTACCAATTTAAAAAACTCAAAAGAAGTTAATAATTTTGCATTAATAATAACATTAATGTTGCATTAATAATAACATTAATAAACAAAGAATTTCTATTCAAAATATCTTATTTATTTTATACTTTTTATTATATAAAATAAAAAAAATTTTTAGATACATAGGTCATGAAAGGGAAAAAGCCTAACCCGAAAGTAGAATCCATCTAAGACAGTATACAGGGTATCCCAAAAGTCCCGGACCGGTCGAATATTTCACAAACTATGCACTTTAGAAAGAAATGTTTCAGACAAAAGTTGTATGGCTTGAAGGGGGCCATCAGATAGTGGCAATGATTTGACATGGGAGAATCATTTGAAAGTCACGTGAAGATCACTGTCAATTTCTTAAATGGAACTTCTTATTTTTTATTAAATATTCTGATAGCTCACGTCGAGAGCTTTCCAAAACACTATAATAAAGTTAGTTTTCATTAAGTACTTTCCGAATTATGAGGCTTGAAATCATTTCTTAATTTTACATAACCGTAAAATATCTTGTAAAATATTCATTTTTCGATTATCTTACCTTAATACTTTTATGTACAAAATAATGAGAGGAATCAATTGGTGTAAAGAAAAAACATAATTGTTTTTAAGAAAAAAATATATAATTTGCAATTAACAATTACATATTTTTTTTTTAAAACAACTATGTGTTTTCTTTACACCAATTGATTCCTTTCATTATTTTGTACATAAAAGTATTAAGGTAAGATAATCGAAAAATGAATATTTTACTAGATGTTTTATGGTTTATGCAAAATTAAGAAATTATTTCAAGCCTTATAACTCGAAAAGTACTCAATGAAGAAATACTTTATTATAGTGTTTTGGAAAGCTCCCGAGATAAGTTACACGAATATGTAATAAAAAATAGGGTGTTCCATTTAAGAAATTGAAGGTGACCTTTACGTCACCTTCAAATGACTCTCCAAGGTCAAATCATTGCCACTATCTGATGGCTCCCTTCAAGTCATATACCTTTTGTCTGAAACATTTCTTTCTAAAGTGCATAGTTTATGAAATATTCGACCGGTCCGGGACTTTTGAGACACCCTGTGCCGCGGCACAGGTCTCGCGAGTTACGGCTTATCGTTCAAAGAGCGCATTAGCTCGAAGACTATTATAGCCGCATCTCTTCTATTTTTTGCGAGAGGAGGCCTAGAGCTCCAAAAATTAACCGCAGACAATTAATTTTTTTAATGGTGAATTCTCATATATGTATCGTAGAAGACAGAATAAATATCCATGCAGAAATGAATATCAATTGCGGACGATATAAAATTTTCTTATGAGGTTTTGATAGTGTTTCCATATAGGATCCTGATAATATTTCCCTATCAGGTCCTAAAGCGCCATTTGTTATTAAAGCCATGTAGGATCCAAGCGTTCTATACCTAGTAGGGCCCAGTTAATTTTAAGACATTAATCAGGTCCTTTTTAAAACCTTATTACTTGTTCTACACGGGCATTTGTAGTCCGTGAAAAAAAAAGATAAAAGTTAAAGTATATATATTAGAAGTACGTATGTATAGAGTGTAATATTGGTCTCTGTATAATTGATTGTTTCAAGGAATATCGTACTTTAACTCATTTTTAATCAATGTGTTTGTTATTAAATATTTTTTATGAATTTTGTAAAAGGTTGATTTTGCGAAAAAATAGCTATTCTTAAAAGATTAAGCAAAATTAATAAATAAATTGCTAATTGTGACTGTTTAAATACACATTCATCAGTTATGGACATTTCTAAACAGTGAAACTTTCGCTTCAAATGGTTTCTTACCCGCAAGAATGTTGTCGGAAAATATTCTGTCATTCGAAATCGGCGTAATTAGCACACATCAATGGCCGTGCTTTCTATTTAAAAGGAGTAACCAACTAGTTTTTTCCTAAACAACTAAACGTACATCATGGGAGAAAATGTTGGATTCATCGAAAATATATATTAATAGAAAATCTCGGCTAGAGAGAAAGGGATGTTCTATAAATTTTGAACTTATCGTCTATTGCATGGATTAAATATAACATCCCAAAATAACATGGATATGCATTTGGTGCAAAGTATCGATTAACGACTCTTATTTCGTTTCCCGTTCTCCCTCGCACTTTCTATTTAGCTGATTAGCGAAAATAGGTTACAATTGCGGCAATAGCAATTTAAGTTTATACATTATCCCGCTAGAGGCTTGCGTGACATACGTGCAAATTGCATAAAGTGCAATTATGCCTTTGTCCGTTATTGCGCACACTGAAATTTATTTTGCAGTTTTGCATAATGAAAATTCACTTGCATGCATATTGAAAGTGAATATTGTTACTTTTGTTTCCTCTTCGTTCTTTTATTTTGATATACTAAATACGTCTGTTATGATAGTACAATTTCTTGTCACAGTTATTTTCAATATTACGCAGTAGATGTTTGAAAGTATTTATTTATATTAACATATATGTATATATATATATATATATATATATATATATATATATACATATGTGTATAAAGAAAGTACAATATAAAGTTTAAAAGATTATTATAGATAAATCGAGCACGGCTGAAAGATTTTTGACTTAAAAATTTGATATATAGTTAAATATCAATCCATTAATTTTATTACTATTCCTTCAAAATTTTATATTTAACAAATATGAGATGTTTAACAACAAAATTAAATCTTTATTAATTATCATGATATTAAAAATATGAATATTCAAATTTTTTTAAATATATACATCATGAATGTGTATATCTACTTAGGAACTTAATTCTAGATACATACAGAATATTTCATGTAAAGGTTACAAGATGTTTTCTCCGAAAAAAATATGTAGCTGCTCGTTGCAAATTTATATTTTTTCTTAAAAATGACTGTTTTCTTTCTACTAATTGATTTTCTCTCTTTATTATTTTATACATAAAAGTAATGATAAATATTTTATAATTTATATAAAATTATGTCAAATTAAAGTATTAGGTAAACTATCATGTAAACTTCCAATTTTTAGCCCTCCTGCCCTTATAAATTTTTACACCTAATATTATGAGAAGTCGATTTGGATAAAAAATTAGAGTAATTCCATCTAAAAAATTTAGCTTTAAATTCACATTACCTTGAAAAATGACCGTAATTCAAAGGCGAGCTTATCAATTTTTTTCTCTCAAAATTCTATAAATTTTGAAACATTTTTTGTATGACATTAAATTTCAGAAAACACCTTGTAATACTTTACTTTTTGTGAAACACTTTGTATATTCGAGACAATTTAAATTCACTGGGTTAATAGAAGCCAAATGGTAAATGCATTAGTTTCAAGGAAAATTAACTTTTCTTGTGTGTGAAACTGAATAGTTGTGTATAATATAATAGATTACAAATTTTTCTTGGTGCGATATCAAGTGATTAAGCAAATCCTATTTCGAGATTTATTTTTCACTTAATAAAAAATTATTAAGAAATTAAAAAAAATAAATCTTGAAATAAAAAAAGAAACTAACTTCCTTCCTCTTCCTCCAAATAAAAAAAAAATTAATTTTCTTTGAAATGTACACTCTATTACTCTTTGTATCTTACTTACTCGAAGAATTTAAATTGTATTTTGCATAAAAATTATAATAATGTCTAATATATGTCTTAATAGTATCTAAATATCTATTATATAATGTCTTTAGTTATACATTTTAAACATTTGTATTACATTTTTATTATTTTAATAGAAATATTTTTTTAACAACATGCATATACAGTATCAATTGTGATAAAAATAATAATATAATAAAAAATAAGATTAACAATTAATAGAATAACAATTGTATTTTTTATTTTGTGTATAAAACATTGAACATTGTTCAATTAAACATTGCTTAATTATAAATTTTGATGTAAAATATTTTCAGCCGTTATGCGTTTTATCTTGAATAAAAACAGAAGAAAAGAGAGCATAAGTTATTTTAGTGAGAGGATAAAAATATCGCGTTTAGGTAAATAGTCCACTGTATATAACGGCGATTTCGAGCAAATCGGCCGCTGACGTCGTGTCGGCGAAACGATCGGAGGGTGTTGTCGTTTTTGGAGAAACTCTGGCGAGCACTGTCGGTATCGATGGTAGCGAGCAATATGGTAAAGATATGGAAAAAGCGAGGCGCTTCATAACTAACCCACCATTGCGGCCCGATCCAACAACACCTGCTTATCTAACTGAACACCTGGCTCAGTAAGTAGATTGTGCAGAGAATTTTCTTCATATACATAACAATCGAGTTCGATTCTATTGCTTTATTATCTCTTAATTGTATTATTACGGATTAATAGCTATAAGAATATTTGGATACTTTCATTCAAGAGAAATTTATTTTCAATTGATCAAAGAAATATGTAAAAGAAATTATTTATTGGTACATTTCCAATAAATATTATTATATTAATGTTAAATTATTATATTAATATTGTATTAATGTTAAAAGAGATACAATGGAACGTTACAAATAATATGTATAAATATTATTGGTAAATTTTATTTTCTATAATTATTTTCTATATGTAGGGTGAGGAAAAATTATGGAAATCCTGAAAAAACTTTGAAAAATATAAAAAAATTAGTTTAGAAAAATGATAGGGTTTATAAAAAGATTTATTTACTGATCTTATCAATTTGATCTTGGAGCATAAATCAGGACAAGGCCAAGAATTTTTTAAATGTGAACAAAGTCAAGTTGAATTTTTTAAATGTAAATTTTTTAAATGTGATTTCGAATTTTTATTGCAAATTCTTGTAGTCCTTGTTTTCAAAAAACGTTTTATTTTCAAAAGATAGATCTTCGATCTTACTTTAGATGATCGAACTTACTTTACGAGATATTTTATATTTTATATTAAAAAATATATCATGACAAATTTTAAAATATCTCAGGAAATTTTCAACTAAAAAAGCTTTATTATAACATTTTGAAAATGTCTCAACAAGGGCTATAAAAATCCGATAAAAAATTCACATTTAAAAAATTCAACTTGACTTTGTCCTATAATCTTGGCAACATCATTCAAATTCAAACTGATGAGATTAATAAATCTTTTTAAACCCTACAACCTTTATTCGAAATAATTTTCTGTAAAACTTACATTTTTTAAGACTTTCCTATTTTTTTCCTCATTCTACATAGATAACTTGTATTATATTATTTGTTACTTCCACGTTATATTATTGTATTGTATTCTTTTCTTTTCTATACATAGCAACACATTAAATTAGCCACTTTATAGTGAATTCTCAAGTTGGTTTTCTTCAATTTAATTTTGAAGATGAATTTTTGATATCTTGTAAGTCTGTAATGCACAGAAATGTTTTTTTATTCAGATTTATGAGAAAATAGCAAAATTTTTTAAATTGATTGTTTTCTTTGAAAAAAATTTATACAAAAATGTCTGACATCATTAAGCTAAAAAAGAAATCAATACATTTGATTATATAGACAAAATTGAAAGTTGTAACAACTTTTTTAAAAATTATATTAGTTTTATAAAAATTCCGGATTTTTTAAATCTAAAAATGATTTAAAATTGTTCTATCACGTTTGCTTTTTTACAATTTGCTTTGACATTTTTATGTTAATATGTGACTGAAATTAATAATAAAAAATTAATACATGAAACTTATTTCATGGCCAGTTCTAAATATATTTATCTATAGAAACTATAAAAAGCTTTCATTATAAATTATAGAGAGGCATACTTGTTTCTATTGCAAAAGAATTTAAGCTTTTAAACTTCTTTTAAAACAGTTAATAAAAAATCTTCAATCATCTATTTTGTATTCAATACTGAATTGCTATTAAACCATCAAAACGATCAATATCACTAGTAAACTAAATCGTTTTCCTAAGAAAAATAGAAAATAAATTTCTTTTCTCTGTTTCTATACAAATATGTCAAGATGTTTTAGCTGCTAATATTACATAATTTTTTTCTTTTAATCTGAAACCTAAGTGAAACCTAAGAGTTGAAACCTAGAGATGAAACCTAAGAGTTTAACAAAATTTATGGATAATGCTAAATTTTTTATTAAATCGTTTAGATTGAGTAAATAATTGGGGGATCTTGGATCCCTCCATATTATTTGCACACTAAAAATGCACAAAAAATACTTTTTTTAAACTTTAGGCCACTTCTTTAAATTCTTTAGTCTAATAAAACATTCTTTGTGTAGAACATCCTTATGTGGAACGGTCGTTTCATTTGTCTTGATTTTTTAGTTTCACTCCAAAGTAGGAATGGTGTACTTTTCTAATAAAAAAACGTTACATTACTTGTCAAATTTCTCCACAAATTTCCTGATAAACAAAAGTTGCCAAAAGAATTTATGAAATAACTGCTTATGATGTAATACTTTTTGTGCTTTTCGAATTTAACATTCAAAAATTAAAAATATCGAAAAAACATTAAAAATAAAAGTTTTTTTATCACAAGCCTGTGTTATCAGCAAATGCAAGTCAAAGGAAACAGATACGTCAGAGACCCAGGGATACACACACATATGCGCGCACACATACATATACACACATTTTATGTGTATTTTTTATGATTCATTTTTTTTGAAAAAATGTATTTTTTTAAATAGAATTTGTTTTTTGTATGTGATGATACATTTAAAAAATAATTTATCTTATTGTTACTATATGGAAAAATGACCTATTGAAGCAGAAAATTTGCAATGTTTATTAAGGAGTGATATCAATTAGTGATTCCAATGAATTTTCTTCTTATAAAGAGAATATTAGTAGTTTTAAATCAATAGTTTCTCTTCTAAATAAAATGGAATACATTTGGAATATTAAAAACTATTTTTTATTGCAGAAACTTATATCGTATTATCTAAAAATATAGTTTTGTCTTAAATAAGAAATAAATATTTTTTAAAATAATATCTATAAACTATTTTTTCATAATTTTTAGTCTAAACTAAGACTTTATAAAAGAATCTTCAAAATTATTTTTTAAAAAGTTATATAAATTTTTAAAAAGTTGTAAATTTTTATATTAGATATTAATTTTTTACAAATCTCTCTTTAAAAATCGATAAAAATAAATTATTTAAAAATCTGTTTTGCTTATAACTGCAGGACATAGAAATGATGTTTGAGATGTTTAAGATATTTAAATATTTAAAAAATTTTTCTAATATCGTTAAAGCTAAATATATTGAATCAGACGCTACACAGAGTCAGGGTTTTATTATTGCTTCAAATACGGTTTCATCATTAAGATTAATATTATTTTTATTGCATTATTTTGCATGCCTTATATCCACGTTTGCAATGATGAAGTATAATAATAACTTGACGCGAATGGCATAAGCGTTACTCGTAATTTTGATATTAATAGCCGCAATGTGGGAAGTCACTTATACGCAGTGCGTTAATGGTAATTAATGCAGGAAAAACAGATGATTTGATGACTACCATTAAATAGCTACTTCTAGTCTTTAATCATTCAATGTTTATTGATAATTTTATTTTCGTATTATTAATTTCAATTACTTCAGCCTACTCGATGTCAAGGTAATCGCTTAATTATCACTTAGTTCTTCTTTTGAAGTCATCCTAATTCGATTTTCATAGATGTGTATTAATACGGCAATTTTTCAGAGATACTCTCCAAGTTACTGGCAGCGATAATTGCACGTTTAACTCCGAGCAGAAGGCTCTGGGTAAAGATGATTTCACGAAAATCCCTAACGGCGTGAACGGTGTTGAGGATAGGATGGCAGTGCTCTGGGAGAAGGGCGTGCACGCCGGAATAATGGATCCTACGCGATTCGTCGCAGTCACTAGCACGAACGCTGCCAGAATCTTCAACTTGTACCCTCGAAAAGGAGTCATAGCCGTCGGTTCGGACGCCGACATTATCGTCTGGGACCCCAACAGGAAGCGCACCATTTCCGCTGAGACCCACGTTCAGGCCGTTGACTTCAACATCTTCGAGGCGAGTTTAATTAAATTGTCCCCTTTTGGTAGATTATTGAAAATTTCATTCAATCTTTCTGTTTTAATTGCAATTATAAAAATATTTCACACATTAATACAATTTAATTAATATTCGATTCTTATATTAATACAGGGTATGGAAGTAACTGGAGTACCTGAATATGTGATTGTCAGTGGACGCGTATGCGTAGACGAATGTGAGCTCAAAGCTGTTCACGGCTTCGGGAAATATATCAATACGGAGCCATTTGGCACTTATGTGTATGACATGATAAATGATAAGGAAAAGGTATAATGTATAATAAACTAAATGTTAAAGAAGAGTCTTATTTTTAGAGCACGTACTATTGATCAAAAGAAGAAGAAGAAAAATCTAATAAATATAATTCCTAGAATTATAATATCTTCGAAGATACAAACTATCTTTCTATTTAAATTCTTTATTTTTTTCTTATAGTTGTGTCATTTCTACAATACAATAAATGAAAGAATATTTACTAATATTCAACAAAATATGCTATGAATGATAATGAATGAAAACCGAGCAATGAGAGAGAGAGAGAGAGAGAGAGAGAGAGAGAGAGAGAGAGAGAGAGAGAGAGAGAGAGAGAGAGAGAGAGAGAGAGAGAGAGAGAAAATAGAGCATAATTAATAAACATAAACAACGGTTTTATCTCAATAGATATTTGTTTATTAATCTTTTGTATCGTTCAACATTATCTACTCTCAAAATATTTGAGACTCTTTTTTAACACTATAATATTCTAATTTAATTTTCAAATTTTCTTTTGTTCTTTATGGTGCTATTTCTTATAGATGATTCTTATTTTTAAATAATAATATTGAAGTAACTATAAAGTGGTCCATTTTAAATAATTCATTAATATCGAAAAACCAAAGTTTCCAATCGAAAAGCGATTGAAAATGCTTTATGATTTCGAGAGAAATATATGAATTTTTAATGGATCATTTAAATTTGTTTATAAATCGATTTTTTGTATATGTGATATAATAAAAAGTTAAAAGGACAGAATGACCAAAAATTGAATAATTTATAAAATATTGGATATATAATGGAATAGAGAACGAGGCATGGAGGTTAATGCCGAAAGAGATAGGGGAAGTATTGTTTAACCAGTTCACTGCTAATGGCCCATACATGGCAAAAAAGTGCCACAACTGATAATAGCCCATATATGTCCACTATGAATAACTTTGCCAATTTTCAACGGATTTGCATGAAACTTGATACACCCACATTTTTTGGGTCTCTAATGACAAATTTAGGATCGAAATTTTAAAATTCAAAATAGCGGATTTAGTATGATGAATTAATTTTGTTATTCTATTATTATATTTATTATTCCATTAAAAAAGATTCAAATTCGATATGTTCAAGTTTGAATGTCTTGAACTAATCCGTTATCTGCGACCAAAAAACGTACCGAGTGTGATATATCCAGACAGCACACATGTCCAAAAGACATCTAAAAGACTACTTAAAGACATCTAAAAGACTACTTAAAGTCCTTTAGACATCTTTAAGACATCTTTTGGTCTTTTTGTGCTGTCTGGGATATTTCCATAATGGAATATCAAAGTTAATTACTAGAAACCGCCATATTGGATCTGCTAGTTTAAATTTTGCAATTTTATCTATAGATTTATCATAAGAGACTCGAAAAACGCGAACATATCGAATTTGATTTTCTCTATAATGAAGTAAAATTAGTCCGCCATATTGGATTCGCCATTTTGAATTTTGAAATTTCGATCCTTGATTCGTCACCAACGACTCAAAAAACCCCTTATAGATAAACTTTCATGTAAAATACGAATTTATTTGCTCTCACCAGTTTTGGCACAAAACGTTGATTTTGGGTGTACCAGTGAACTGGTTAAATTATTAAACAAAATTTGGAAAGAAGAAGGAATACTAAAGGAGGAGTGGACTAAAGGGATAATAAACCCAATAAACAAGAATAACAAGCCCAATAAACAAGAAAGGAGACACGAAAAAGGCGAAGAACTATAGGGGAATAACTAACGGATATAAAATATAATATAAAATGCTAGCGTACTGAATGAAAAGATGAAGTAGGTGGCGGAGAAAAGGATGGAGAAGGGACAATTTGGTTTCAGGACAGAAAGAGGGACGACAGATGCAATCTTCACACTGAACTACATAGTCAACAGAGAATTATCAAAGAATAAAGATAAAATCTTTGCCTTCTTTGCAGACCTCAAAGCGGCATTTGACAGAGTGGATAGAGCTAAACTAGGAGAGATGCTGAGGGAGACAAGAATCGGAGAGAGACTGAGAAAGAGAATTATGGAAACATACAAAGAGACAAAGAATATAGTAAGGGTAGGAAATAGAAGGTCCAAAAAATTTTGGACGAAAAGCGGAGTCAAACAAGGATGCCTCACAAGTCCAACACTATTCAATATATATATAATGGATCTGGAAAAAGAAATGAAAAAAGGAGCAAACGGAAAATGTAATGATAGGAAAAGAGAAACTGTGTATGGTCGATAACATATGCAGACGATATTGTGTTGTGTTTGAGAAAATAAAGAGGGAGTATATAAAATGGATATTGTGAAACTAGACATAAGGACACCAAATTACATACTGGAAGAAGAAACAAAAATAAAGGAACTGAGAACAGAGGCCATAAAAAGAGCAATAAAATGTAAAGAAAAGGCAAGGTAATCGGAGAAGAAGATAATGATAGAATGTATGAAAGAAATACAGAAAAGGAGAAAAAATGGAGAAGAAAGTAAATGGGAAAAAAAGGAGAAGGTTACTAGAGAAAACCGATGGGTAAAGAAGAACTGAAAAAGAAGAGAGAAGAAGGGGAGATATTGGAAAAGATAATGGAAAGAATTGAAGAACGAGAAAAAGAAGAAAGAAAGAGGAAAACAGAGGAATCTAGCTATATATAAAAAGATAAGGACAGAAGGAGTACCGAATTATTTGAAAGGAAAAAAGAGTAAAAAAGATAGGAGCAGAATTGCAAGATAGATGTGATAGCGAACTGAGACGAGGACATTATTGAAAGGAGGAGACAGAAAGAGAATGTAGGATATGTGGAAAAGTAGAAGAAAGCCTAAAATACGTATTAAAAGAATGCGAAGAATGCAACAAAAGACGAAATATCAATGGAAGAATTTTTGAGCGAGGAGGGAAGTGGATTGAATATAATGAGAAAAATAGACAAAATACGAGAAGAGAAGAAGATGGAGAAGGGGGACAAAGTCATCACGAGCCAAGGAAACCTGAGATGCAAGGAACGATAGAGATTAAAAAGGAGTTATAATTATTAAGAACAACAATATAAAGCCAAAGAAGTCAAAGAAACCAAAGATACTAAAGATACCAAAAATAAAACCACAAAGAATTATAAAAACTACAAAGGGAGATTTAAGAAACTTTATACTCCACATAATACATAACACATAATACATAACATTTTACTCATCTAGATTAGGAGCTTAAGTAGATAGTGTTTTAGTATTATTCTTATTCAACTTTATTTTATTTTATTTTATTTTAATTTTTATTTTTTATTCTTATTTTTACTTGCAATTTAATTCAATCTTATTTTATTTTATAATATTTTATATTACTTTTCCTCGCCTGTTACTCTAGAGTCTAGATTTTAGATTTAGATTTTATTTCAGATTTTATTTAAGTACTGTATAACTTACACTTTACACTTTACACACTTTATGTTTTATTTTATTTTTATATATTATATCATATTTTATATTTTTATATTTTATACGTTATAAAATTCTGTAAATAAATACAAAACTTGTAAAGCTTATAAGACTGGAAGTCCATTCAAAGCCATAAAGCTGGGATTAAAAACAATAAATAAAATAAATATTGTATATATAATTTTAATTTGACATAATTTTACACAAACTATAAAATATTTCATAAAATATTCATTTTATATATCTGTAGATTATAATTATTAAATATAATTTATTTTTCGATTATTTTATCTCTTAATATTTTTATGCACAAAATAATCAGATCAATTGGTCTAAAAAAATGCAGTTATTTTCAAGAAAAAGCTGTAGTTCTTCGTTGCAAATTCAGAAATATATCAATGTGTCATTTATAATGGGCCATATATTATTGAATCGGCTGTATTATTATTGAACTAAATTTGGAAATTAATTATTTAGAATACAAATTAATATTATTTAAAATTTATAATTGAAATTTAACTTAACACTGCAACTGTTGCGTAGAAACCACGTGGAGTCGCACGAACTGAAGCGGAAGCCAAGAGATTCGCAGAGGAAGATGCCGCGATCGCGAAGGCTAAAGAAGAAGCAAAAACGGCTGCAGCAGCCGCTGCTGTGGCTGCAGCACGAGCTAATCAGACCAATGGTTCACTTCACGAGAGTCCAAGAGCAAAATTTCAATCTACTTATGCACCTACTTTGCCGGATTCCGCCGTTGTGACACCATCTACGAAGGGTCCGAGACTCGAAGGCCAGAGAAACCTGCAAGACTCTACTTTCTCTATTAGTGGTGAGTATGTTTAATAATTTTAAACTTTTATACACACATAGGTAGAGATCGAAATAAGAAAAAAAGTCTAGTAAACACAAGACTAAAATAAATATCTATTGAAATACTATTTATTATCACTATAAAGAGTGTTCTATATATTTCTATTCGTTGTCATTTCTACGTCTTACTAATTCTACTACTTAAAGAATTATGTCTTTCAAACACATCCGAATACTAATAAATACTTTTAAATGTTAAAAATAATAATAATGAGTAAAAAAATAAATAAAATAATAAAAATAATAATAAAATAGTAATAAATACTTGTACATATAAATACTCTTTTGTTTACTGCTTTGAAGAAATGATATAATTAGTAAAAAAATAGAAATAAAGAGCTCAAATCAAAAGACAGTCTATTCTCTAAAGATATTAAATTTTAGGTCTCAATCTTTATCAGATTTTTTTTGTTTTAATCAATGCTACTTGTTCTCAAAATATAACTCTTTTCTAATACCTAGTATATTTCCTGATTTTTATAATAGCAATATTGATAAAGAAATACTAAATTTTGTTCAAATCTGATTATATATTAATTGCCAAAAATATGTTAATTTTGTCTCATTTGCTTCTTCTTTTATATTACGGAAATATAAACGCGTTATTCTTGCAGAGGATGTCGAAGAAGCACGAAGGGCTTGTATTCGCGTGAATAATCCACCGGGTGGCCGCAGTGCGGGAGGCTTTTGGTAATTTATACAAAAAAAGAGAACATCAAGATTCGCTTTATGTATAAAAGTCATTTAACGCGAGAAAAAAAATGTTTATCCTCTTTCTTCCTTCCCCCATCTATCACATACATATATACATATGCTTTATTGATTTCAAAGAGTACCAGCCTCGCGCTTTCAGGTTCGCTACTCACCAAATATTAAATTCAATCATTTTTTCATATTATATTCTCATCGATCAAGGTCTGTTCCATCGAAGGAGGATGCAGAGGTCACTGGCCAGTAGGTTGTATGTTTTCATATATTCATATTAATTGTTCCACACTCGCTTCATCATTTTAGCATTGCACTAATCGTATCGCTAATATATCTGAATCATTAATCTCGACATATTCTCCGATTTCTATGATATGTAAATCATCTTTTTCGAGATTCTTTGATAAATGTTTACCAATATAGACTTTCTTTAAAATTACTCTTGTTATTTTTATTTTAATATTTATTTATTGTTACATATATGAAAATATATATCAGATTTATATTATGTCATAGAGCAAAAAAAGAAATATATATTTAATATTCATTATATATGTATATATATATACATATATATATATATATATATATATATATATATATATATATTTGGTGAATTTTATTTTTTTGTAACTTTAGTAAACATAAACATATAATTATCATGTAATATGTAAATAACATATGCGTTACATGTAATACATACGTTAATTATAATTTCCCACTCATAAATATAATGTTTATAATATAACGTATGTGCTATATTGTAGTTATTTTGTAATTATGTCCCACATTTTTCAAAGTGACTTCTCAGCAAACACAAAGTAACAATAACATAATATTAATATTATAATTTCCCACTTGACAGTGTAATTATTACAAGATATGCTACTTTGCAGTTACATTATTCAGTGGAAAATTATAAGATTGATGTGATGTTACTGTTATTTTGTGTTTGCTGAATCGGCATCTTAGGATATCATGAATACTTACAAGGAGATGCATGGAAGTCTTTCTCTCCGATTTTATGAGCTTTTAATATGTTGCTTTCTAGACAAAAATAAAGGACACGTATTTTTTTTATATATACTTGTACGCATATCTAAGGAGTAAAACATTTCTTTGAAAAAAATCAATTTTTTCTTTCCGAGACGAATATCTCCGAAACTGTAAGAAATAGAAAAAAATTTTTTTAGATTAAAAATTAAATGATTTCAAAAATACTTTACAACAATGACAAAAAGTTTTTAATTTTTAAAATTTTTTAAAATACTCCCACCATTAAATAATTTCTTTATTAATTTTAAAACTTTTTTTGTCACTAAATGAGGTTATCTTTTTGTGAATCCAACCATATATTAGGTTGTATTCCGAACACAATTATTGTCAGAATTAATTATAAATCTTTTTGTAAATATGCTATCCGTATCTGTCTTTGCGCAGGATTCATCGCGCAACACATTCTGTTTTTTCGTAATAGAATAATAACTAATACATTTGCCTATATAATAATTTCTTTTGCGTGCATAGCTAGATTAACATTATAACAGTTTAATATATAATGAGATCTCAAAACATTAAATATAAATAAGTTTAAAGTGTATGCACGAGTGACTAAACTTGTTTAATTTAAGATGGCACAAGAAATAATAATAATAATAATATTAATATTAATAATATAATTATGTAATTATGTAGTTACGTAGCTTTAAAGAATGCATGCTGCATTTACTTATTACATTTATTATTTTATATAGAAATGGAATTAGAATTTTATATCATGAATATCATAGCTGACATTTTTTTGTTGTTTTAATTTAAAGTCTGTAGAACAGATAAAAAGAGTTTAAAAAATTGAAGATCAAAGATTAATGATTTGAAAATATTTAATTACGAAATATAAACATATGTTAAAGGGAAGAGCTATAATATAAAATATTGTCTTTTTGAGAACTTTAACTTAATATGTGACATTATTTTATCGTGAATTATTAATCAGAGCGACTTTTTAACATGTATTGATATTTTAAAAATATTTATAAATATTTTTATTTCTCTTAAGATTTTATTTTCATAATTATTTAAAATTATTTACAACAAAAATTCTTGTTTGTTGTATTTTTCCTAAAGTGAAGAAATGCTCTTTAGTAGGAGGAAATAAATAAACGTTGTGGAAAAGACATTAAATACAGACGTTTAAAAATACTCATCTTCTTTCAAACAGACTTCTCACAAAGAACAAAAATTTCAAAAGAAGATATATAATACGATATGTACTTGTTTTAAGAATGAAATAAAATTATTATTTAAATATCATAATATAATGTAAATGTATAATAAGCACATAACAAAATGCTGCTATTTTTGAAATAAAATTATTAATATTATTATTTATTAATAATCTTATTAATATATATTATTATTATTAATTATATATTAATTATTAATATTATTATTAACATAAGTTTATAATTATATTATTTAATATTTATTATTTTTGTATATAGATATATATGCGATAGTGTTCATATAATACATCAATAATTACAATATGGATACATGCACGAATTGTAAGCTTAATGATTAAAGATAATTTATTATTTACATATTTATTATTTACAAATTTTATTGCATGCTTATTATATTTATATTATATTATTTATGGCATTTAAAAATAAATATTTTTTTATTCTTTAAGTAATGTTTTGTACTTTGTTTTGTAAAACTTTTGTTCTTCGTGAATAGTTTGTTCAATAAAAAAGATAAAAACTTTATATGTAATGCTGTCTGTGTTTTATGTTTTTTTACAAAAGTTTTAAAAAGTATCAACAAATTTCTTTAAAACTCTAAAAAAAACAAAAATTTATATCAATTGTAATTTTACAAAGGCATAAATGTAAAATCGTGAAAGAAATGTAAACATTAATAAATAATAAAAAGCTAAAGCCTTGCATTTAGTCACAAAGAAATTTTAAAATTAATAAAGAAAATGTTTAGTGATGGGGGTATTAATTTTGAAAAATTAAAGAAATAAAAAATTTATTTTTTGTCATTATTGTAAAGTGCTCTTGAAACTATTTAACATTTAATTTGAAAAACTCTTTTTATCTCTTATAGTTTCGGAGATACTTGTCTTGAAAGGGAAAAACCGATCTTTTTCAAAGGAGTATTAGGCATGTGTATGAGCACGTACAAAAAAATACGTACCCCTTATTTTTTAGAAAGATAAAACAACATATTAAAGGCTTATCGAAATCGGAGGAGGACATTTCCGTGTATCTCCTTGTTAGTTATTATAGTTTCGATCACATTCTATAATACTAATGTAAGTCGCTGTACATAGGATATAATTACAATATATTATATTGTAACATATATTATATTACAAATATTACATCTATAAGTGAGAAAAATTACAGATATATGTTACATGTAACGCACATGTTAGTTACTAATTATATAATAGTTATATGTATATTTGCTGTTTTATGTATATTTGCTGGAATTATTATTAAATTTTGAAGATTATAAAAGCAAATTTGGGAGCATTTATGAGTTTTGTGAAAAAAAAAATTGTTTCTTTTTTACACTATATATGTCTCACATAGTATTTGTTTTTTTAACTCAAAGAAAAAAATTACAGATTAGATAGAAACTTAAAATTGAGAATAAAAACAATTGTGATATTAAATATCACACACAATTAACATTATTATTATTAAACAATAAATTATTAATATTATTATTATTAGTATTACTATTATTATTATTAGTATTACTATTATTATTATTATTGTTATTATTATTATTATTATTATTGTTATTGCTATTAACATTATTAATAAGATAATGGCTTATTTATTATTAGCGATAAACATGCATTGGGAAAAAATTATGGCTCAAAGCAATGTAGTGAAAGATTTAATTATAATATTCACATTGAGTCAGCAATAAAAAGTTATTTTTATTTATAATGTATGTTACACAAATGTATATATATGGATTAATTGTACTCTATGGCATAATTATATATGTATATGCTTATATATAATCAAAAAGCCGTTGAAGAGATTTTAATTATTTAATTTTCATAACAATCAATATCAGTTGCGTACATATATATCTTTTATTGTTAAATGAAGACTCTCCAATGATTCTTCATTAACACAATTAAAAGTTTTATAGGTTGAGCGTTAAATATTGTGAGCAGTAATTTTTCAATTATAAAGAGATATTATATATTTCTCGACTTAATTATATATATATATATATATATATATATATATATATATATATTTATTTATTTCATTAATATTTCTCAACAAATCATAACGTTTATGTTACGTTATATTATAATTAATAAGAAAATATTTTAATACATATAGTTTAATTAAGTTGTTAAATATATATATATATAAATGCGCGATTTTAATTTATATTAACACTTAAATATGTATTTAATTTAAAAATGTATTTTTTCATAATTTTACTAAAATGTTGAGATTCAATGTTACATTTTAAATTTATTATGACCAATAGCATATGTTATATTTAACATAGGCGTAAGTCAGAGGAGAATTTTGACATCCGAAAAAAATATCTTCTTCAAATTCAAATTTTCGATAAAAATTTATACTTGCTATAGAATTCTAGAAGCAATACATCAAGGGAAGATGATTCTAAGTCGAATGACAATTTATACACTTTTAAATAATAGAAATATTATCAGCGAAACCGAATTTTTGTTTAACATATATTAGATGTATGTACTTCTTATGGGTAGAAGTTTACGATACTGACGATTATTCGCTTTTATAGCGTCTGAGCGCACGATATGAAACGACGCACAAATTTTTAATAATATTCGCTCATACCGCTGTAAAAAGACATTGCGAGAAGAACAAAATAAAAGATAATACGTTTTATAAGAGAGAATACGTTAATATACGTTTTATAATACGAAAAACATATTCATTAATTAAATTATAAGAACTTTACTTAAGAGACATTCATAGAATCAATCATTTTCACGTATTATTATTAATTTTTTTCGCATAATTCACAAGTTTCCCTACATTCCGATCTTTAGAGATCTAACATGAAACTTATTTGTTTTTTTTTATTTTAACTCAAGTATCGCAGTACTATTTCCCTTCAACAGTTTTATCTTTTACTGATCTATTATTTTATCAATGTTAACACTTAGACTATATCAGAAAGTATCTTATTACTATTAAAGATTATTTGACATGATAATGATATAAACCCAGTAAACACTATTTGCTGCAGTAATATAACGTGGAAGTAATAAATAATATAACACAAATTATTTATGATATAAAATTGTAATATATCATAATATTGTTTTACAACATGATAACAGTAATGTAACAGAATTATATATTATTCCAGATTTATATATTATTCCAATATAATAATTGT